AAGCTCTTTATATCTGCACTGATATGGAAGAAAGTCTAAGACAAGAAAAAAATCAAGATGCAAAATAATGTATGATGTTGTTTTGCCCAAAAATGGAAAAATAATTTGTGTTTGCTTAAAGAATTTGAAAGGATACAAAAGAAAGTAAGCGAGTTGGTTGATTTGTGAGAAAGATGGGAACTGGGCAGGTGGGGTAAGACTGACGGTAAAACCTTTCATTGTACTTTCACTCCTTAGGCTTTCTGGTTTCTTAATCTTGTGAATGAATTACTTATTCTCGAGGGCGCCTGGGTGGCTCAGTTGGTTAAGCGACTACCTTCGGCTCAGGTCATGATCCTGGAGTCCCTGGATCGAGTCCCGCATCGGGCTCCCTGCTCGGCGGGGAGTCTGCTTCTCCCTCTGACCCTCCCCCCTCTCATGCTCTCTCTATCTCATTCTCTCTCTCAAATAAATAAATAAAATCTTTTTTAAAAAAAAATACTTATTCTCGAAATCAAATTAAGAATTTTGTACACTATAGTGTACAAAACAAAGTAAGAAAACAAAAATAGATATGAAATTAGAAAATACAAAACACCCAGCCCGTGAGTGGCTATTCTGTATACACTGGGAGATAAATATTGTAGTGGTCCTGTGATTGGTTTTATGACCTTCATGTAGGACTTTATATCTCAACTTGTTAGACTGGGTCCATCTTTAAAATATTTTGGGATACCCCCATCCCTTCACTCACTGCACAAATGTACTCTGAGGGTCTTCCACCAGCCCCAGTGGGTAGTGTTGTTTCCTTTCTCCGTTTAGGTCATCTGTGGAAGTGGTAGTGGTAGTGAGAAAGCCAAGTTAGAAGAGGGTGTGGCAAGAGCCCAGGAAGTTGAGGTGACCCTCTGGTGGGAACCAGGACACAGGCCCACAGACAGCAGGGAACAGATGTGTGGCTAATGGGCTGTGGTTGGCCTAGTGACAGGTAATGAGAGCTTGGCTCCATCTTCGGACAGAGCCAGTTTAGCCATGACTGATGGAAGTGCTGCAGGCAAGGAGGGAGTGGACCAGAGAGAGCTGGGCTTCCACAGCCTGGGAACCCTCTGGCCACGGAATGGCCCATCAGGTAGCAAAGGTCTTCCTCATTTAAGAGGCCTGTTCTCCAGGCTGAAACCTGGAGGGCAAAGATAAGAACTTTCCCCTTTGCTGAGCAATGCTAGGTGTTGGGCACGGTGCTGAGAGTTGATGCTTAATCTCTACAACCACTCCCAGTTGCAGATGGGGACTCCCAAAGCTTAGATTGAGTCAAGAAACCTGCTCAAGGATATACAGTTGCTCAAGTGTGGAACAAGAACCTGATAGGTTAGCCTGATACTAAACCGTAACTTTTTTTTTTTCCCAAAGATTTGATTTATTTGAGAGAGAGCACGAGCAGGGTGAGCAGCAGAGGGAGAGGGAGAAGCAGATTTGATCCCAGGACCCTGAGATCATGACCTAAGCCGAAGGCAGACACTCAACTGACTAAGCCACCCAAGCGCCCCTAAGCTATAACTCTTGACCACCACAGTGCTCTTGGTGTACTTGTGTTGCTAAAATGAACAAATGGCCCAGAGAGAGTGCCAGCCTGAAACTATGCTGGGTCCAGAGCTACTCTTATAAAAAGTAAAGTCTTAGAGGCAGATAGACCTGCTGAGAGCTCACCCTGGGTGTGCAGCTCAAGAAAGCCTGTGGGCACAGACACGTCATTTAACCATGAGCTTCAGTTTCCTCGTCTGTAAAAATGAAGCGAACGTGTATTCTTGGTGGCCTGTTGTAATTAAATAGGACAGTGAATGGAAAATTGTGACTAGCAGGGCCTGACCCAAAATAGATGCTTAACACAACTCTTCTCAATGGAGAGACTGCTGAATACCATGGAAAGGACAGAGTTGGGGCTACAGACAGGGAGAAAGTTCCTTTGGCAGTCTGGCAGCTCTGCTTTCCCATGGATAGGACTTTTAGCCATTTTCCCACAGTGATCAGTGGGAACACCCTTAAAATAAAAAGAGGTCTTTTGGATTTATTTGTAGAGAAAACAGGAGAGAGCAAGCTGGGAAGAAAATAAAGGAGAAACTAGAATATACAAAGAAATCAAGAACATGAATGGTAGCTTTACAAAGGCAAGGAGGGACACCTGGCTGTTCAGTCGAGAGCATGCGACTTGAGCTTAGGGTGGTGAGTTCAAGGCCCATGTTGGGCATAGAGATTACTTTAAAAAATTTCAATTCAATTCAATTTAAAAAATAATAAATAAAAAGATAAGAAAGATAAGAAACCTAGGCTGGGTCCCAGGTGTGGGAAGATGACAGAAAGGGACTGCTCTCTGGGATGTGCCCCAGGGAAGGTCAAGGCCAATTCTGGTTGAGGAAGCTTCAAGGTCCTCCCAAACCAGGCCCTTCTCCTAATCTGCCAACTGGAAGCACAAATGCCTTTGAAGTAGCTCAAAGGGGCTGGACTGTCCTGGGCTTCTGGCTAGTTTGAAAGCCCTTCTCCTTATGGCCAAAAGATTCCTTTATTCAGCCATCTCCTTTGAAGAGGGAAAATCTCTTCTGGAGGGTGACAGACTCTGACATCCCCTACCCAGAAAGCAGAGCCTTTCCCCAGCGCTCACAAGCCATCTTTGCAACCTTGTCCCAGCTATCAGAGACAAGCTTTTGTGCTGAGTCAGTCTGGCTGCCTTCCAGCCACGAACAGTGGAGGCTGCAATGCAGGGGCCATTAAAGGAACTATTTTTAGGCCCTATTTCAATCTTATTCAGCACAGGCAGTGAGACACAGGGCCTGAAGGTGGCCAGACCAAGGGGATGCTGGCAGGGACAGAGTCCAGGCAAGTAGGTCAGGGAAAAGACAAGGAGATCACACTATGTGGAAAGAAAGAAGCACACAGAGGGAGGTTCACGATGCTGCCCAAGGTACGGGAAGACAGAAGATGGGGAGCTGCTTGCGGAGAATTGGGCCCTCCTGCTTTATATGAGGAGTCACCAAGAAAAATGAGGGAAGGGAAGGGAAGAAAGTACAGCCACTTCCAAAAAGAGACTAGGGCAATGTGCACCTGGGGAACTCGTTAAAAATATACTTCCTGGGCCCATCTTAGGTCAACGGAGACTGAATATTAGAGTGAGGCATGGGAATCTGTTTCTAATCCCCTCCTGGGATGGGGGATTCACACATATTGAAGTTTGAGACCCACTGGGCAGGAGAGTATTCAAAGGACGGATGTAGGCTGAGGAAGAGGCAGAGGTGGTGGCAGTCATTAAAACAGCCACCAGAGGGCCGCCTGGGTGGCTCAGTCGTTAAGCATCTGCCTTCGGCTCAGGTCATGATCCCAGGGTCCTGGCACCGAGCCTTGCATCGGGCTCCCTGCTCCGCGGGAAGCCTGCTTCTCCCTCTCCCGCTCCCCCTGCTTGTGTTCCCTCTCTCGCTGTCTCTCTCTCTGTCAAATAAATAAAATCTTAAAAAAAAACCAAAACCCATCAGAGGTGACATTTTCCTTTCTTCCAGGGCTCAGGCTTCCATCTGTAAAATGAAGGTCTTGGCAGTCCCAGGGGTCTCCTAGTTCTTTCTCAGGAAATCCTTATCACTGGGATGCTCAGTGATCAGCCGAGAGAACAGGAGGTAACAGCTCTTATACCAGAGGCCCATATTATCCAAGGATCATCAATAAAAGTCCATGGAGAGCGAACATATGCACAACGGGGAGCAAAGTTCAAAGTACATTGTGGGAGAAAAAAGCCAATTGATTGGGACTGTCACAAAAATAAACTTTATATATATTAAAAATGGGCTACAAGAGTAGATTTTCTTCTTGTAGTTGAAAAACTGTAGATTATACTTACAAGTATGTAATAATTCTTTTTTTTTAAGTTTATTATTATTTTTTTTAGTACTCTCTACACCCAACGTGGGGCTTGAATTCATGACCCTGAGATCAAGAGTCACATGCTCTTCTGATTGAGCCAGCCAGATGCCCCAAGTATGTAATAATTTTTTTTTTTAAAGATTTTATTTATTTGAGAGAGAGGGAAAGAGATAGAGAGTGCAAGCAGGAAGGAGAGGAGAAGCAGGCTCCCTGCTCAGCAGGGAGTCTGACGTGGGGCTTGACCCCAGGATCCTGGGATCACGACCCCAGCCGAAGGCAGACACCCAACTGACTGAGCCACCCAGGTGCCCCTGTAATAATTCTTAAATATTTTTCCAGCTTTATATCTTATTTCTTAAACAAATAATGAATACGGATTTTTTTTTGGAGATGGGGAATAATTTTTCTGACAACTGTCCAAGAACACTTTACTTTGACCAAGAACTCCTTCACTTTGACTTTTGCAGAATTATAAAGGTCATTTGAAAATATTTTAGAGGGTTTTATCGATTTCCCTAGGACTTCTCTTAATTCTTTGAGAGTCAAACCACTATTTTTTGAGGCAATTATCATGTCCTCACCATGAAGATTCTCCTCAATGGCACCTGGTCTCACTCTGCCAGAGCCTCACGAGATGGGTAGCTCTACATGTGATTCTCCAACACCATTCTGACTTCACAAAATGTTGCAATATTTACAATTATTCCTTATATCTGTCTTCTCTTTGTGCTGCACTGTCAGATGTTTATGAAATCCAACAATCAGAGAAAATTTGGCCAATGAAGGCACTGACAAAGTTAGTGGAGGGAATGAGGGGAGGGGATAGAACTTTTGTTTTTTGGGCTACACTCACTTTGGGTTTTCCTGCCACCTCCTAACAGCAGGGACTTAGGGTAATAAACACCAAAATAATGAGGCTCTCCCAAAGTAGGAACAAGAAAGATGAGTGGGGATAAGAGGGCAGCATCTTTCTACAGACTCAGAATCTTCTGCATTCTGCTTTTCTTGGCCACCTAAAGAAAGCCTATCCACAAAAACTCTTTCACACTGTGCCATGGCCCCCAACTGCCCTTCCAGACTGCAAACCCACCCCCCCTCATCCTCAGGGAGCCACAAGACAAGGCCACCTGGTCAAGTGACACTTTAATAGGCTAGAAATAAAAATAAAAAACCTGTCTTTGGAGAATATCAAGAGCCACATGTGGGCCAAAGCAGAAAATAGAGGCACAGCACTTCGGGCATAGGGGGAAACAACAGGCTGAGTGGAAGGTCAGCGATGGCTGAAGAATCCTTGAGGATGGTTATATTTAAATGGCTTCATCCTGCTGGGACCCCTAAAGAAACAGGAGAAGGGAGATCAGTTAATACTGTGCCCTTTGGGCTGACCAATAAATTATAATTCATCCACACAAGAGAAAACTGCAGCTGTTGGGGGGTGAAAAACGAACACTGTGAGAAAAACAGACTGCAAAACCACATGTAAGGTGTGATACTGTTTTGGTGAAAATGTATGCTTGCAAATGCATGAACGCAAACCTGGAAAGGGCCTCACTGACAACAGGCACTTCTGGAGACCCTCACTTTTTAGTGTTTTTACAGAACTGTTCATTGTTGTTTGTATAACAATAAACATATTTCTTTCTTTTTTTTTTAAGCTTTTATTTGAGAAGGAAAGAGAGGAGAGAGAGAGAGAGAGAAGAAAGAGAGTGAAGGAGCGCACAGGAGCAGGGGGGTGGAGCAGAGGGAGAAACAGACACCCCGCTGAACAGGGAGCCCAATGAGGGGCTCGATTCCAGGGCCCCGGGATCATGACCTGAGCCAAAGGCAGACGCTTCACTGACTGAGCCACCCAGGTGTCCCTATTTTATTTCTATAAAAAGAAAAGAAAAAAATCTTAAAATCCTCCTTTGCAGGGAGATTCCCATGTAAACAGGAGTGAAAAGAATCTGCACTAAATGCCTGTCAAGAGCTATGTGCTTTATACTTACTACCTCTTAGTTCTTACCATTTTATAGATTTTACAGATGAAGAAACAGGCTCGGGGAGGTAAACTGCCCGAGATTTTATGGTCAGAAAGTACAGGGCTCAACTTCAAAACCAGGACTAACATCAAAGCCTACTGGCCACAGGCAGGCTGACAATCATGGCCAAAACCTCAGCCCTCTGAAGCTAAGGTGCTTCAGCTATAATCCTGGGCCCCCGGGCAAAACTTCACACAGGGGCTTCTTCTACCCAACTCCACAGTGAATGATGTCCATCTAAATGGCCTCTTTTGTCTGCTATGATTGACATTCAGTGGTAACTTGAAAGGTGACACCCTGGATCTCGGTGTGAAGGAGGGATATGTGTGTGTGTGATTATAGAGATGAGAGAAAGGTTTTTATTCCAACACCAATGCAACCACTAACTTAAGTGAGGGTTTACTCTGTGTGCATTGTATTTGGCACTTTACACACTATATCTGGTTTTGTTGTTTGTTTTTTTTTTAAAGATTTTATTTATTTATTTGACAGAGAGAGACAGAGAGAGAGAGGGAACACAAGCAGGGGGAGTGGGAGGGGGAGAAGCAGGCTTCCCGCTGAGCAGGGAGCCCAATGCCGGGCTCGATCCCAGGACCCTGGGATCATGACCTGAGCCAAAGGCAGACGCTTAACGACTGAGCCACCCAGGCGCCCCTACATCTGGTTTAATTTCATCCTCTCAACAGTACCTGAGGTGGATGCTGTTTTTTCACCAATGAGGAATCTGAAGCTCAAGGGGCTAAGTGTAGACCCTCATCACATAGGTAGGAGCTGCAATTTGAACCCACGTCTTTCTGGCCCCAAAGCCCTTGCTCATAACCGTAATGATATATACCTCCCGACATCAGAAGGGCACAGAATCACCTGGGCAAGTCTAGGCATGTGGCTAATGGAGAACCCACAGCCTGAAAGTAGCCAGCCACAGGCAGAACCAGACCTCCCGTCTCCTGCTGCCAGGCCAGTACTCTGCAGCCCAGGCCCTTGGCCTGATACCAGTGGTCAGTTGGACTCCAGGCCTAGAAACACATCTCACCAGTCATGGAGTTAATTGGATCTGAGTAGCCGAAGGAGCACCATCCCAGAATGCCCTGATAGAGGAGCTCAGCCTGGGTGACACACAAAGCACTTCAGGAAACAGATCCTTTGGGAACCATTAGATAACAGAAAATAAATACTGGCCGTGTGAGAGATTCCACACTGGAAATGTGTTACAGCAGGCTGGGAGGGTGGGAAGAACTGAGTTCTCACACAGACCCACTAGGGAGAGCAAGTCCTAGAAGCTATCAACACCTAGCCGCCAGCTCTGCCTCCCAGCAGCCACTTGGGGGCTGGAACTGTTATTCTCAGATAACATGAAGAACCAGGCCAGGTGCAGGTGCCAGATGGAGGTGGGAGGATGCTGGCACAGCTTCCAGGGGCTGGTACTGGCTGTCCGAGAAGAAGGTGAGGGGCAGGTAAGGCACCTTTAGACTGACAGGGAATAGGGGGATGTCCCAATTAGAAACAGATTATAGCCCTTCCCCTCTCCCAGACACCATTCCTCCTCAGCTGCTTGCTCAAAAGGGAAGGGATGCCTAATAGTGTGGACTTGAGTTTTGAAACTGACTCTTTAAGAACAAGAATATGTGGGGCGCCTGGGTGGCTCAGTCAGGTAAGCATCTGCCTTTGGCTCGGGTCATGATCCCAGGGTCCTGGGATCAAGTCCCGTGTCGGGCTCCCTGCTCAGCGGGGAGCCTGCTTCTCCCTCTCCCTGTCGCTCCCCTTGCTTGTGCTCTGTCAAATAAATAAATAAATAAAATCTTAAAAAAAAAAAAAAAAAAAGGAACAAGAACATGTGTTAGCTGATAAAAGGGAGAGAAAGGACCTGACCAAAGTGAATGGAAAAGTAGCTAGAAGTGCCATAAGCACAGACACACTAAACACCAAGTTGTCATGACCTAATGGCATTTTGTGAGCCCCTGTCTGTGCCAGGAACCATTCTCATAGCTTACATGAATTACAGCCAGACAGTATACTTCCATGTCAGCCTTTAGGAAATAGGTCCCGAGCTAAAGTGACTCTGCCAAGGTCACACAGCTGGTGAGCAGCAAAGCAGCAATCTGTACTTGTATTTGTCTTACTTCAGAGCTGGTTCCTTCCGTGATGCCCGACTGCCTAGAGCTGCCATTCTCATAGACTCGTGAGCATCCTAGGAAGAATATGGCAGACTCGGACTGGTGGGGCTTTACACCTAGCTTTAAAAGCTTATTTGGACAGTAAAAAGCAAACCCTGTTGTTTTCCAAAAAAAAAACCACAGGAAGTTCAGTTAAACCCTTTTGGTTCGTGGTCTGGTGCTGCTCACTCAGTGGGCGGCTGACCTTCAGAGGTGCTCAAGAAGAACAACTGGACCAGGACGGTAGGAAGTAGGCTGCAGGGAAAGTTTCAGGAAGGAGGGAGCAAGCCCTCCCCAGAAAATCTGGCTACAGAATTTTTATTTCCACTGTGAACAGAGACAAGTACACCTAAGAACAAGCATGCCCTCCATGCCAGGCTCTGATGTCTGCCCCAAGTCCCTGAAAGAGGCAGGACTGGAGACCTCCAGAGCCCCAGCGTTCCCACCCCTCCCCTCACCTGAAAAGCCGCAGACACATCTTCTCCTGGGGAAACTCCTTGGGCCCCTCCACACTGTCGTCGTGGCTGTCAGTCTCCAGGTAGACATCCAACAGCACACACAGGCGCTGCAGCTGGTTGGTCAAGAGCTGATGGCTGGGCCGGGGGCCGCACAGCTCCTTGTAGCACACGTTGACCTCACTCTCCATGGCCTAAGGAGTGGGAAAGCCAGAAACTCAGCACTACCTTCAGACTGGCTGGGTCTGACAGCTTTACAAGAACTGTAGCCGGGCCTCTGTAGGAGCTAGGTCACACCAGATCAAACCAGATAGGTTTGTCCTGAAGCTCAGGACAACAGAGTCTTCCTGATTGTGACCCATAACTTTCCTTGCCCAACATTCTCACAGCCAAGAAGATGGAGGTGTGTAGAGAAGAAATCTCAACATCTAAGTCAGAAAGTATCAGCATTAAAAACATGATTCATGGCCAGAAGGCCACTATGGAATCAAATCAACAGGTATGATAATTAATAGTTACAATGATCTCACACCCCATCTCATTCCAGGACTTCCATGCTTCTGAGTTTATTCACATTTCCACAGAAGCCCAAGACAACAACCTTTAAAGGCAAGGCTTTATATTATCCTCATTTTAAAATGGGGTGACCCCAAGCTAAGTAAGTGGTTAATATGGGGCTAGACTTTTTCTTCAACTATACCATACAGTCTCCAGCAAATTCTACAAATCCTGGCAGGCCCCTTTGTCCCTGGAATTATGCCAGTGGCCAAGCTCTCGGCTGCTGTAGGTTCTGCCACTTCCCTCCGCCTCCCAAGGAGGCTCTCCCTGCTCTTTCCTTCACCCCAGCAGGGTCTTACCCGAATGTTGTCATCGTTGCTATTGGTTTTCTCCCCTTTCCAGTTCAGACACAGCTGGAAAATGGGTGGGATGGAGGAGTAGCCAGGATTCAGCACCACAGCAGCCTGGAGTTTGGCTGGGAAGGGAGTAAGGAGGAAAAATCAGTTCTGAGACCGAGTTTGCCAGCCATGGACCCTCCCCACTAGACCCAAGGCTAGCTCTTTGTCTTGTATTAATTTGAGTATTGGGCAGCACATTCTGGTACTAAATGACTTTTATTTTTGTTCTACAATCTCCGAAGCAGAACTGTCAGGTTGCAGAATGTGAGGTCCTGTGACTCTGGTACCCTTCAAGGATGCAGAGGTGTGTGGACTCCCCAGAGTCTGGTCCACATTGGGTCTGCCCAAGAGTTCTATTTGCTCCTTTGACAGAAACTTGTTTTAATTGGCATTTCGTTCTTTGCCAGCAAGTTAAGGATTTTCCCACATGAAGGCTATCTGTTTTTTCTTTCCAACAATATTGTGTATTAGCTATTATATCAAATATATTCTCTCGGGTGCCTGGGTGGCTCAGTTGCTAAGCGTCTGCCTTCGGCTCAGGTCATGATCCCAGGATCCTGGGATCGAGTCACACATCGGGCTCCCTGCTCAGCGGGAAGCCTGCTTCTCCCTCTCCCACTCCCCCTGCTTGTGTTCCTGCTCTCGCTCTCTGTCAAATAAATAAATAAAATCTTTAAAAAAAAAAAATTCTCTCTATTCTGTTCCTTTTCTTTTTATGTACTTTGTTATGTGAAACTTTTAAATAGCCAACATATATTGAGTACTTACTGTATTCCAAGCACTGTGTTAAACTCCTCTTTACACATTATATTTCATCCTAGGAATGATTCTATGAGATGGGTACAATTATTACCATCCCAATTTTATATATAAAGAAATTCAGACTCTGACAGAAACTTCCTTAGGATCAATCAGTTGCAAAGCAGCAGTGCTGAGTTTAACTAGAACTGTCTGATATCAAAGCTATAAATTCATACTCCTTATAGAAAATAGTTGTATTTTTTTTTAAAGACTTTATTATTTGAGAGATAGAGCACGCACGAGCAGTGGGGATGGGAAGAGGGAGAGGGAGAAGCAGACTCCTCGCTGAGCAGGGAGCCCAACTTGGGGCTCGATCCCAGGACCGAGATCATGACCTGAGCTGAAGGCAGACGCTTAACCGACTAAGCCACCAGGTGCCCCTGAAAATAGTTGTATTTTTTTAACATATTCATTTTATCTCTGGTGACAGCCTCTGCCTTTCTCCACAGGATGATATTTACCCTTTCTACCAAGGGGTGAAGTATGCCATTCCTTTTTCATTATTTATGGGGAAGAAAAAGGACTGTGACACACTAGTAATTCAAACAACAGAGGACAAGAGAGTATAGATTAAGACAATTCTTCCCTGACAGTCGCAACCACATTTATTAAAAAGTGAGTCCTAAAAAAAAAAAAAAAAAGTGAGTCCTACCCAAAGGATACAAACATAGTGATCCGAAGGGGGCACCTGCATCCCAATGTTTATAGCTGCAATGTCCACAACAGCCAAACTACGGAAAGAGCCCAGATGTCAGTCGACAGATGAATAAAGAAGATGTGGTGTGTGTGTGTGTGTATATATATATATATATATATATATGTGTGTGTGTGTGTGTGTATATATATAATATATATACGCAATAGAATATTACTCAGCCATCAGAAAGATGAAATCTTACCATTTGCAATGATGTGGATGGAAGTAGAGGGTATAATGCAAAGTGAAATAAGTCGATCAGAGAAAGAAAATTATATGATTTCACTCATATGTGGAATTTGAGAAACAAAAGAGAGGATCATAGGGGAAGGGAGGGAAAAATAAAGTAAAATGAAATCAGACAGGGAGACAAACAATAAGAGACTCAAGTATAGGAAACAAACTGAAGGTTGCTGGAGGGAAGGCAGGTGGGGGGATGGGGTAACTGGGTGATGGACATTAAGGAGGGCACATGAGGTAAGGAGCAATGGATATTATATGCAACTGATGAATCACTGAACTCTACCTCTGAAACTAATACACTATAGTTAATTAATGGAATTTAAGTAAAATAAAATTAAAAAAAATTAAAAAGTGAGTCCTTTCTCTGCTGCTGTATTATTTGTGTCGTTAACAGTTGGCATATATTCCTGCATTTATCTCTATTCACCATTTTTTTTAATCCATCAGTTTTCAAACTGATCTGTTGTAAAATGACATATTTTCTGGAACTGCTGCCCACTTATTCATTTAAATTTCACTCTTAAATTTTCAAATTCTACAACGCATCTTACAAAAATTTTATTTAGCACATTCGCTCTGATGGATCTAGAACACTTACTATCTTTACAAGCTTTCATCTCCTCAACCAAGAAGCAGAACAATGTCTTCCAGTGACTTCCCCCACTTGGGGCTTTATAAATTTCTTGGACTACATATTTCGTGCCCTTTCAAAACAGTATTCTATGTTATTTAGGGACAAGGTAAAAAATTTTTTAAAGGGAAAAGGATGGGAAACAAATGTACAAATTCCAAGTAGCAGTCACCTATCCTGAGGGAGAGAATGACCTCAGGGGACCTCAACTATATATAAAATAGTTAATTTCCTCAGAGTATTTTAAAACCACACAAAGAAAAAAAGAAGGGAAGAAACCACAGGACAGAGAAACTCTAACATCAGACAGTGCACCCTTTCCTTATATTCCTCGCGGTGTCTTAGAATCACAGACAATCCCTCCGCTCTGCAGCCACAGCACCAAGCCCCAGGGGTCGGATCCTGTGGGCAGTGCCAGGCTTGCCGAGGCAGGAGCCAGAAAACAGCTCCATAAAGCAGCACCTGGTTGGCTCCACAGGAAGCCTCGGCAAATTAGACGCCAGAACAGCTGTGAGAAATCATAGTTTTTGATGCCTCCAAAGTGAGTACAGGAACAGCAGACAAGGAGGAAGGTCCTGCCACCCTGCACTTCACAACCTGAGAACAACAAGTCAGCCCTTCTGTGAAGAGGAGAAAGAACAGTTATCTGCTTTTAGAGAATGATAAAATGATAAAGCAAAGAGCTAAGAGCTCAGGCTCAGAGGTCAGGCTGCACTTGTGACTATGCCTCAATGTGCTCACCTATAAACTGGGCATACAGGTTTCCCCTGTTATCCAAAAGTAGAGCGTTGCTATGAAACCTTTCATAAGCCAAAAGGGCATAAAACAAGGGGCATCCCCCACATTCTGAGCATTAATGCCACTTTACTTTTACAAAAGACCTACATTAGTAATGACTCTTTTTGTAAAAGTGAAAATCCTCCTTTCGGTTAATGAAAACAGATATTAATGTAGGTTTTTTGGAAAAGTGGTGGAATGCAAACTTCAGGAAAACGGGGATACCTGTATTACCACTCCCAGCACGCACTGTGATGAGGATTAAATGAGATAAAACATGTATGCAGCTGTGTTACAGAACAAGTCCTCACTGAACGGTGGTTCTTACAATCATTACTATTTGCTAAGTCACCCCAGCAGGATTCTAGGATCTTTTGCTTTCTTTGGACAACCCCCGGGAATGTTTTATTCCTTTTTTTTTTTTAAGGTTTTATTTGTCAGGGGGCGCCTAGGTGGCTCAGTTGGTTAAGCGACTGCTTTCAGCTCAGGTCATGATCCTGGAGTCCCTGGATCGAGTCCCACATCGGGCTCCCTGCTCGGCAGGGAGCCTGCTTCTCCCTCTGACCCTCCCCCCTCTCATGTGCTCTCTCTCTCTCATTCTCTCTGTCTCAAATAAATAAATAAAATCTTAAAAAAAAAAAAAGGTTTTATTTGTCAGAAGGAGAGCAAGAGAGCACAGGCGGGGAGAGAGGCAGAGGGAGAGGGAGAAGCAGGCTCCCCGCTGAGCAAGGAGCCCTATGTGGGACTTGATCCCAGGAGCCTGAGATCACGACCTGAGCCAAAGGCAGATGCTTAACCTACTGAGCCACCCAGGCATCCAGAAATGTTTTATTCTTACTAGCTCCCCTTGCCCACCACTATGCTCAGAAGAACAATTACCTGTGCCCCTTTCCACGAGTGCCATGTAGTAGAGATTAGTGTCCTCAGCCAGTCCCGCCTCCACAATGTCCTTGGTGAAATGCAGCTCCTAGAAGTCACCACAGAGGAGTGAACTCCTGGACTCTCCGGTCAAATCCCCTGCTGGAAGGGCAGGAGCTAAAGGGTGATATGGGTTTTTGGGACAGCAAGGGTGACCCGTCACTCCTCCACTTACCATGTAATCCTCATGGGCAATCGTCACCCACTTCACCAGGCGGGAGACAACCTTTGCAGGGAAGAGGCACTGGCAATCACTGGTAACTGGTACAATGCCATGTTCTAAAAGAGAGCAAGATATGTGGTATACAGGTAGCAATCAGGTGCCACACTGGGTAACCAGGATCTGGAGGGCTCAGATGGCCCTACCAGCTGTTCAGGTACAGGAGGCATTCCGTAGGGGCCCTGGTCAACACGTGCTAGGAATGCAGGCACACCAATCTGACCTTCCCCCGGTGCTATGTGCTTGTGGCCAGACCTAGCACCAGCTTTCACGGTGCGTTATCTTTAATGCAAATGACAGCCAGCAAAACAAAAGCCCCCTGGCAGCCAGAACCAGTGACAGTGAGTGCCTCTGCAGCAATGACTGTTAATTAGATCAAATAGCCGAGAGGGCTGTTTGCACAGCTGACCTTGACAGAGGAAATGACTGAAGTGTTCTGTGTCGGTTTCTCTAAGGTAGAAGAGCTAGAGAACTGCTCCAGGGCAAATTCTTGCTGGCGCTTCAATCCGCAAATATGCCAACACAGTAAACCCTGTACAGGATGACAATCATCCAACAAAATAGGTTGAGCAATGCTGTTGGGGAGCAAGCCCGACAGCAATGCTGCCCTGGAGACATCTGGGTCCACGTGGAATGCAAGAACTGCCCCAAAGGGGAACGGTCTCTAGATGGGTCCCGGAAACCCAATGCCTTTCCTGACAGTGACTATTTTAGATCAGAAAGATCTTAACTCTCACTACCCCACAATTGCCTTATGCATGGTAAACCCTTGACAGGTATTTACTGAATGAAGAGAAACACCCAACTGGCCACCTCCGTGGTCAATGGCTCATCAGAATCACCTGGGAACTTATGAAAAACACTGGGGTTCAGCCTCACCATGGAGGATGGTAGCTCAGTAGGTCTCAGGGGAGGGATGAGGGGGTGGATCCCTGAACAGCTGTACTCAAATAAGCTAAATGTAAGCTCTACAAAGCATGAACTGGGCTTCTACTAAATATCTGTAGAATGGACACCAAAGGCTGACATGCGCTAACCTAGAATAAGCTGTCCCTGACCAGTCCACTAACTTGGACCACCCAGAAGGCTTTGGGCCTCTTTAGTGAGCTAGGACAATGCTGATGGCCCTGAGGGGAGCTCAGGTCTCTGCCTGGAGGGGCTTGTAGCTCTCCCCAATGGCCCTGCCAACACCTCTGCTCAGCAAGAGCCAGGACCCAAGTCCTCTTTGATGTGTCATCAGGATTTAAGAAATCTGAGGGAAGGATACGTCATCTTTGTCTCTGTTGTCCGGGTGGCCCTTAAGCCACAGGCCTAACACCAGCTTACCCAGGGAAGCAAACTGTTTGTGAAGGGCCAGGCGGGACTGCACCCTGGTCTTCAGCAGTTTCATAGTGGTCTCCATGTGGCTGGCGCTCAGCGAGTGGTCAGCAATCACCGTGTGCTGTGGAGACAGTGAGCAGCACACCTGAGTGCTCCACCCCTTCCTCCAGGCACTTCCTCTCTCCTCCGCCCTGCGTGCCTACGGCAGCTGGGACTACCCACACCCTGGGATGGGTATCTTACGGAAATGGCAGAGTTTGCCTGCCATGACAGGCCTGATGCTGAGTTCCAGCAGGAACAATACAAGCCACTGGGTTCTTGAGAGGCTAGCCAGCTCCTTAGAAAGGCTTCTGCTAAGATGCCAGATCCCCTGGGGTTCTGTTGACACATCATTTTTGTCATCTTTGTACATAAAACGGGGGGGTGGCAGAGCCTGGAGCCATGCTGCACCCAGAGCAAGGACCCAAGTGACTTTGATCAAGAGAGCTATTAGGCTCGGGGCGCCTGGGTGGCTCAGTTGGTTAAGCGACTGCCTTCAGCTCAGGTCACGATCCTGGAGTCCCGGGATTGAGTCCCACATCGGGCTCCCAGCTCAGCGGGGAGCCTGCTTCCCCCTCTGACCCTCTCCCCTCTCATGCTGTTTCTCTGTCTCTCTCTCTTTCTCTCAAATAAATAAATAAAATCTTAAAAAAAAGAGAGAGAGCTATTAGGCTCAGGGTGAAGGCAAAAGGTACCTAAACACTTGTAGGCCTCAGACATTTTAGTATCCTGAGTGGAGGGAGGACAGATCATAGCCTGAAGGGAAAGCATTCTGATAATTTAAAGCCCCCAAAGGCCATCAGAAGCCTTTCTGGAGTCTGTACAGGAGATGAGGAAGTAGAGATCCTCAGCCAAGGAGAATGGGTCAGTGTACACACCTGGGGCTGCTCTTTGGGGAAGTGGAGGCCACCCAGCTTTTGTACCCACAAATAGGGGTGACCTAGGTCAAGTACGTAGTCTCTCAAAGTCAGGATGCTGCAGAAAAGAACACAGCGTAAAATGATTTTATAAGTCCTTTCTGCGGTGGTTCCAGGATACAGCCTTTCCTATCCTCCCCACCTCCCCACCGCCCCAAATGGGCTGGTCCTGCAGGTTCAGCCACACTCAAAGCCAGACTGCCAGCAAAGCTTCTAAACTTCATCATCTCCCTACTGTGAGTTTCACCTCTCCCATGTTTGCTTTTCTCTTCCCAGCGCCCCCCCACCAACTCATAAGCAAATCTCAATACAAAGGCAGTGCCCTTGATCTCTTCACCAGCGTACCAATTTTTAAAATGTTTTTAAAGTTTTTAGTTCTCATAGAATTAAAATGATAAACCATGTTATTGTATCACGTGTTATCACGTCCTTCAAGTTTGATCCTTCCACCCTTCTAACCCTTCCATGACCTCCATTTGCCCCTGCATTCCCTTCTCTTGATACCACACTCCCTCCTGCCCCCAGAGTCTCTCCTCCCCACTGAGAGGTCTCTGGCCCTAACAGGTCTCCGACGCTGGGTGTGAGCTGCCGGAGACACTCCAAAGCAGAGAGGCTGGGAGAGGAGGAAACACTGCTGACTCACCCAACTTTATCAAACTGATACTGATTGGCTGGATTTGGAGTTTTCTTTCCATGGTCCCCTGGATACAAACAGCTCAGGACTGAGTCAGGAGACAGCAAGTCACTGGCAAAGGGAAAAGACCGCAGTGAGAACGCTGGCCAACTCCTTGCTTCAAGGCAGACTTGGTCATCTGGGGATGGTAATGCCACCTATCACTGATGATCATGCTACCATTTCTAGAATGGTTCCTGTGGACCAGACCCTTTATACTTGAGGTCACTGGATCCTTACAACCCTATGAGGGAGGGAGTATAACCATTTCCATTTTACAGAGGAGAAACTCAAAGCTTTGAAAGATTCGGCTTGTCTTAGGTCACACTACTAGTAAAGTGCTGGAGCTGGGATTTGCACTATCTGATCCAAGACAGTAGTAGTACTAAGCACCAAATTTTTTGAAAACCCTATCCCTTCAAGAGGTATATGGTGACCAGGGCCTTAACTCAAGGCAGCAAAGCCCTGTGACACTGGAGATAAAATAATCACAATTTTCGTAAGAGCAGAAGAGATTCCTTTCTACCCCAAAAGAACAAGTGTGCAGCTTTGATGGTGTGTCTATCTCATTTTGACCAAATCTCATGCTACTCACAGAGAAAGGTCCCTTTTATGTTCCCAGAAAAAGACATTATCACATGCGCCGGAGACAAGGTGACCCAGGGCTATAAGCAGAGAGACAGCACCACTGCTACCCACCTGGAATGGTTAGGGAACAGCCTGTAATTAAACATGACAAGTGGAGAAGGAATGGAAGGGGAGAGGAGGAAGATAATGGAGTAATCTAATTGCAAAGGACAAGGTTCGTTCTTTCCCTCAACCAGTAGGGGGGGGTTCTCCTTCACCTTTCCAGGTACGGCATCAGGAGCAACTCAGGCAGAATGGGCTAATCCTGCTGCTCAGAGCCCCGGCACGCCTTCAAGAACTTAGCAATGGGGCAGTGGCAGCTTCTGACTCTTCCCTGTTCTTTGTCTCTCCTATAGTCTCTCTGCCCTCCTCAAAGTCTCTGCCCCTTCACTGCTTTTCATGGAGAACTGGCCAGAAAATAAATAAGAATTGTCAGTCTTTTGGGGCACCTTGGTGGCTCAGTTGGTTAAATGTCTGGCTCCGGCTCAGGTCATGATCTTGGGGTCCTGGGATTGAGCCCCGCATCAGGCTCCCCGCTCTGCGGGGTATCTGCTTCTCCCTCTCCCTCTGTCCCTCCCTCTACTCATGCTCTCTCTCTCAAATAAATAAAATCTTTAAAAAAAAATTGCCATGCGCCTGGGTGGCTCAGTTGGTTGAGTGTCTGACTCTTGGTTTCAACTCAGGTCATGGTCTCAGGTCATGAGACTGAGCCCCACATCGGGCTCTACACTTAGCGGGGAGTCTGCTTGACATTCTCTCTCTCGGTCTCCCTCTGCCCCTGACCCCTCTCAAATAAATAAATACATCTTTTAAAAAAATTGTCAGTCTTTTGGCCAATATTTGGTGACTATTACTAATAGAATGAATCAACAAAAGTAAAGCAGAACAGCTAAAACTGCACAATAAAGGTTTCTAATTAACAGAACCTGATGGAAGAATCAAATCTTCTTGATAAAATTTACATCATAATATGTGGTTCAGGACAATTCAATTTGGTAAAAATAATGGACATCAAAGAAGAGGTTATATATAGTCATAAAACTACAACACCAAGAGGCTCCTGGGTGGCTCAGTCAGTTGGGCATCCGGCTCTTGATCTCAGCTCAGGTCTTGATCTCAGGGTAGCGAGTTAGTGCCCTGCAATGGGCTCCATGCCAGGCGTGGAGCCTACTTAAAAAAATAAACAAAAAAAACACTGGGATGCCTGGGTGGCTCAGTCAGTTAAGCCATTTGCTTTCTGTTCAGGTCATGATCCCAGGGTCCTGGGATCAAGTCCCACATTAGGCTCCTTGCTCAGTGGGAAGCCTGCTTCTCCTTCTCCATCTGCCTGCTGCTTCCCCTGCTTGTGGGCTCTACCTCTCTCTGACAAAAAAAAAAAACAAAACAAAAAAACACAACACCAAAATAAAAAGCTACTCAATTAGTCAAATCTTTGTTATAAAATAATAACAAAGGATTAAAAATTTGGTAAAGTAAAAGTGTAAAATAATTAAAAATAGTTTAATGGCTTAATGAAAAACTGATTAGTCAAAATGCCCTAATGGAGATCATTCTGGAAAATAATTTCTTAAAGAACATTCAGCAAGGCTGGTTAAATGTTAAATTGTATTAAGAACATCAATTCCCTAATGAAATAGATCCTGGCAACGGTTGTCAAAGCTGCTAATGCCACAAAAATAGAGAACCTCCTATGCCTCCTGATGGAAGTACTTGACATCTATGATGTCATCTTGCTCCCCTGTCCCCCCAACCAAAAAAATCAAAATGGAATCTGATCAAGCCTCTAAATCTAATTTACATGAAATACACAGAAAGAAAGTAACTCATTAAATTGTGCTGCAGGGATGCAATCATCAAAATCCAGACCAGGGAAACCTACAAACAACCCATTCCCCTCAACAAATAAACAGATAGCAGGACATTCGGATGAAAAGAAGCTGGAGAGAAGCCTCACCCAATTGCAACATTTGGACCTTATAGAGATCCAGATTCAAAACCTAATATAAAAACAAAACAACAAAAAACACTTATGAGAAAATCAAGGTAATTTGAACTGTGGATACTAGATGGTATTAAGAAATTAGTGTGAGACTGTGATTATATTGGGGGAAAAAAAGTATCCTTATGTTTTCATAGGTTAATAAATAGAACCACAGACCAGGCTGCTGTATCCCCAGGACCCAAAGCAGCCTGTACTTGAGCAAAGGCCATTGGGCTGGGAGTCTGGAGCTCTAAGGCTTGGGGCTTCCATAACTGGCCACATACCCTTTGGACCTCGGTTTCTCCATCTAGAAAATAGGGGGATGAGCTAGACACCACCTGAAGGCCCATAAAGATATAATCCTGGTTTCAGGGCGGTGTTTCCTTTTGCATCTCCTCCTCCTTCCGGGGCCACAGCCCACCTATCATTGACAGTCATACAGTACAGAGGTATACAGGCCTCAGTCTCCTCTCCTTGTAAAGTTATTGTGAAGAGCAAATTCATGATGATAAACACAGCTGTCATTTATCAAGCGCTTCACCTATGCTAAGCACTGGACCTGGTCCTTCACAAACACCCTTGAAGGAGATATTACAATTAACCACCAGAGTGAGGAGGCAGACTCAGAGGCCAGGAAACTTGGCTCAACGTGCAGACACAGCTCTAAGTGGCAGACTGGGGACATGCTGGAGTTCTGAGCCCAGCTGGTAACCAGTCCGCAGCACTGTCCCCATCACTGCACATGAGGAGCTGGAGTTAAGTGTGCACTGAGGCCAGCAGGCAGCCCTGTTCTTAGTAGGTATGGCATCAAGAGGCGAGCAGGCAGAATGCTGGTGACAGGGAGCTCCACCATGGCCTCAACTGCCAGAGAGCTCTGGCTGAGCAGTGTAACTGGATGCTCTGAAGAAGCAAGCCTGGGCTCCCTCTGCTGGGGTCAGGTGAGAATAGGGTCAATTTCATCCAGAGTGCCCTAGGGTAACCACACAACACTCTCAAGTACAGGGACCACGGCTGCAGCCTGAAGGGGGCGTGGACTGTAAGTGCAGGGTAGAGAACCCAGGGACACCGCACCACCAGGCAGCCATGGGAAGAGCCCCAGCCCACGAGGCAGCAGACCTATGCCTTCCTCAGTGGTCTCTGTACAGCCAACACGACGACTCACTGTGCTTGAGTGCCAGGCCAGCCTAGTGCTTTTGTAAGTGAGGCTATTTCACCCCCAGGCTCTCTTGGGTCCTCCTCCCTTCTTTCCACTCCTAGCTGTGGAACAAGACTGCCAGTGTCAGGGGCTTCCTGGAGATGCCCGACCTGTGGCCTTGATTACTGAGCTTCTGCTCACCCTCCTCAAAACCTCCTCTCACAACCTGGGACTGAGCTGAGCTGTGAAGCAAAAATCCCAGCACCTCGTGAGAGAAAAAGTAAAGGACGAGGGCGGCCTAAATTTGTCAACCTAGTAATGTCTGCCAAACTCCATTCCTCCATTCATGCCTTTCCACTGTTCATAAAAAGCTGGTGCTCTGCCCCGCCCACTCAATTTGCCATACATTGAAGTCGTTTTATCATCTGCTACGTAGTAAGAGGACCAACTAAAATCAGTGAGTACTTCCTAAATACCAGTGATGTGCCAGGACTTCTAGGCCACGTGGACATGACAACAGAAATCAACACAGCCATGCACCTCCTCAGAGCGTGAGGAACCCAGAGCAGCCCATACTGAGGCTCTTCTCACACCCACCCCCATGCCCCACTCTCCACCGCGCCTGCCCAATACCCTGCACTGATGGGGGTGATCAGCTCCGTGGCGGTTGTCACTTTGGCTTTTACCGTCATGATGTTGAGGTTCATGAGGTAGTAGAAAGTCAGGTGAAGTACGCTGTCATCTGAGGGGGGAAGGAAACAAAGACCATGTACAATTTGAACACGAGAGAAAAGTTTATAGTGTTAGGGAACAGAAAGTCAGCAAGGCTTTTAAGAGCTTTTACTGTAAAAATAAGAACTCAATGTCAATTTTATATTTAGTTAAAAAAGAATGTCTACAAATTCCTTGCAACTCCTCTCTCCAAGGGGGGGAGCTTCATTTCCCTCCTCTTGAGCGTGGCCTGGACTTAGCTGCTTCTAACAACTACGATATGGAAAGGGAGCGATCAAGTGATCACCAAGTGGATCCAGTTTCCTGTCATCGGTGATAAGACACAGTGACACCATTTACCCCTGATGTGATGTGATGATGAACACCACATCTATGGTATTCCTCCCCCAAACCCATAACCTCAGCCTAGTCAGGAGAAAGGACCAGACAAACCCAAATTGAGTCTTTCCACATAGTAAACCTTGTCTTCAAAGATGTCAAGGTCATGAAAGACAAGCAAAGACTGAGGAACTATCACTGCCTGGAAGAGACTAAGGGGCAGGACAACTAAATGCAATGGAACCTGGAACAAAGGACATTAGTGGAAAAACCAGGGAAATGTGCATAAATTCTGTAGTTTAGTTAATAACATTATACCAATAAAATTAACATTGGTTTGGATCACTGTACTGTGGTTAAATGCTGACATTAGGGGAAGCTGGGTGAAGAGCATGAGAACTCTACTACTGCAACTCTTCTGAGTCTAAAATTATCTCAAAATAACAAATTTAAAAAAAAAAAATAAAGAGAGGGCCAGTATATGGAGTATGTTTCCATTTGTGTAAAAAGTAAAAGAAGGGGATAAATAAACACTTGTATAAAAGTTTCTAAATGCATAGAATAGGTCTAGAAAATACATCAGAAATCTGTCACAATGGTTGTCCTTGGAGGTAAGACCAAGGACAAGAGTCTGGGAGTCTCAGGTGAGAGGGAAACTTACATGTAACTGTTAACTCTTATACTGCTAGAATGCTTTATCATATGCTTCTTTATCCATACAAAACCAGTTTCAAAACATATATTCTCTACAGAATACAAACCTCTACTTACATTTGTTATATTAAGCACGTTGGTCTTATTACCCAAAACTTGCATACTCTTGCAACTTGTTCTGGGTATCTGACTTAACAAATTCAGAAATTGGTGTAATTTTACTGAGCATCCATTATGTGTCTAGTTTTATTGCTTTGTTGTTATGGTTAGGACTTAGAGGGGAAAAAAAAAAAATCAAACAAACTCCATGCCAAACCATGAGGAAAAACAGAGAAATATGAAATCAGAATCTTTTTTTGGTCAAACAGGGCTTTGGCTTGCTGGATGTTGGGCAACTGGAACTACGGGATCCCCCAGAACAAGGGAAGCCAGACCTTTGCACTTCAGGTCCAGCATGACAGACAGTGGGTGCCTCTTCAGCATCTCCTTGCGTTTGTCATCCAACTGAACTCCCAGTGTGGGTCGCCGGCGTTTCTGGATGAAGGAAAATCAAAGCGGGTAAGCACCGGTCATACGCTTTCCCCCTTCCTTCTCCGTATAGGCCAGGGACTGCTGCCTGGGACCTGCTGCTTCAACTATCCCAGCTGCCAGGCCCCCAGCAGCCCTTTCTTTCCAACCTCTTTCTTCTGCTTCTAGGGAGAATAGCACCTGCCAACTAGCAGGCCCAAGTGCGGCTGCGTGGCACACTCATAAGGGGCAACGGCTCTCACCGTGGTCTGTTCCTCCTCAGCATCCGAGTCGCTCTCGTCATCTGCAACCACAAGGACAGTCATCTAGAGGTGAGGGGGCTCCCAATGTTCCCTAACGTGCCTCAACCCATGGGGCATAAAGGGGCCAAGACTGTGTCATTTGTAAATAGGTTTCTTTAGAATACATAATAAACTAATTTGCTCCTGCTTATTTGGTAGAGAAAACGTGGTGATGCGAGAAAATAAAAAGAGGAATGCCTCATAATTCCCCCCCCCATTTCTGAAAGTGCTTTTTAATGTCATCCTATGGACCACAAGCCCCTCCACTGGTAGTGGTAGCAGTAACAGTAATATAAATAACAACAATAGCAGCAGTTCATATAATTTGAGCAGTCACTATGTGCCCAGAATGATGCTAAGGACTTTGCATGCATGACCTCACTTAATCCACATGATAATTCTACATGAGCTATTACTATCCTATTCTGACGAGTAAACTGAAGCTCAGAAATGTTAAAGAGCTTTCCCAGGATCAGTAAGCTAGTGAGTGGCAGGGCTGAAATCCATAAGCAGTGCTTTTTCCTGTCTACCTTGAGCATTAGGACATTAAAGTCAAGCTCCCTGATACTCAGAACTAGCACAGCTAATTTCCAAAGGCCCAGCACTGCCCCTGGGTGGCGACCCGGTGCCCCTGGAACCAACTATGGAAGACTAGGGTAGGGGGAGGATCCTGACTACATTACCTTGGGAGTCTTCAGGAGGCTTAAACAGAGCCTTGGCTTCGTCCACACTGCCTTCAATTGCCACAGACAAGGTCTTATCTGTGAGCAAGAAAAAGCTTTGTATGACAGCTGCTGAGGGAAGGAGCTAAGCTATACAAACAGGCTAGCTCTGGGACTGCATTTCTTCTGCCTTTGTCGCAGGTCCTTACTGACTGGGGGATGAGAGGGCAAAAGCTCTTTCTCCAGATGAAGAGGAACACGGTAGGAAACTTAAGTCTTTTTTCCATTGTTTACTCAGAACAACCCAAAGTGCAGACTTTTGGACAAGCACCACCTGAGACTATGGTGAATGCCTCTCTTTTCACGCTTATACCAACGCACAATCCCAACCCAGGGCCTAAAGCCACAAAATACTCTTATGCCAACTGTCTTAAAGGTTCTCATCCAGAACCCGTAACTGTCCACATCAGGGAAATGACCTCTCTCATCTATTCTGTACTACACTAAGCATCTGGCTGGCACCACCACATTTAACTGGGAGACAGGACAGTGGATAGGTTGGACCCTGTAGTCTAGTCCCAGATCTGAGTTCCTGCCCCACCAATTCCTAAACACCTGGAAAGTTATGTCACTGCTCTGAGCCCCACTTTCTGCATCAATGAAATCCTGTCTTGACAAATAGTAGCTGCCCAGTTGGGTGGTGAGGACCAAATGAGCTGATGCTTATAATTATAAAATTATTTTTTTCAAATTAATGTTTAACTTTTGCAACAACCCTTTGAGAGCCATACCATTATTATAGTCATGAAATGAGAAAATTAAGGCTCAGAGAAGTTAGATACAATAGCCAGAGTAGCTAAGCTAGGATTCAAGACCAGGTCTATTCAACTTGAGCCCACTGTCTCAAGCACAAATATAAGTGGGCCGGTCCATGCACTGGGACTGACACTTCCCTGGGTCACACCTGGCCTGCCTTTGTGGAACTCCAGAGGTCTAGTGCTGAGAGGTCAAAACAGGCCACCACCCTCTTGCTCCATTCAAAAGGGTATACAGATTACAGATAGTCACAGGAGCCCAAAATGGTTTGCCCAACTGTACTAAGGAGGAACAGCAAACTTCCTCGACCTGGCAGGCCACTGAGATAATACTCCCAGGAGGCTGGCCATTGCTCTGACAGCCCTGAATGAACTAACATACCTCACCCCAAACAAGCTGGATGCCCCCACCAACCACTGGCAAATGCCAAACTATTCTTTTGGGTAACTTAATCCTGAAATTCTACAGTAAAATGGGAAAGGAAACAGGATGGGGTTAAACACAAAAGAAAAGAAAATTACTCACCCTGTCTAGGGGGCTGGGAGGATTTCATATGAGCTGATGATGGAAACAAGAAGGAGAACAAAAGGGAGGGAGAGGACCAGAAGGACCAGGAAAACACAAGAAGAAAGACAGTAATGTGTCGGTGCCCATGGCTGGGAAGAGAGGCATGCACTGGTGCGATACATATCTGTCTGATGCGATGGGGTGAAGAAGAAAAGTTTAGGTGCTGGGTAAAAGCTGCAGGAAGGCAAAGGTTAGGGTCTCCAAAAACTTTTCAAAATCCTAGTGAAGTAAAGGGCTGCCCTTAAGCTTAAAGCAAAGACATCTTCCCACTTGGTAATTCACTATAATGACATGCAGCTTGTTTGGGCTTGGTGAAAGCCTGGGAAAGCTGCCTGGGACCTGTGTTGACCAACTCTTCTCTATGAAGCGGAGCAAGAGGTGCCGATCCACCTGCCAAGCATGCCTTGATGAGGTGAGTGTCTGGGAGCCCAGACAGGCTGCCTGGGCACTGCACTCAACAGCTGACCAGCCAGGCTCATCAAAGATTCAAAGCCATCCATTCGGAAATGCCCACCAGGTTAGTCTAGCCTCAGGCCAGCTGGTCAAAGCAGCCATGCTGGGTGGTGCAGCGGGGGACAGCATCTGTCACCTGTGGGCTTCTGGCAGGACCAGGGAGCTTTCCTCAGTGGGCAGGGCTTCCAAATGACTCAAACGGCCAAGGCTGCTGCTCCCACAGCCCCTCTTCCTCACCCACCCCCCATACTCACCACAGGCCTGCCCATATGCAGTGGCTTGGACAAAGAGGACATAGAGGGGAGGTGGCAGGTGTCTAGCTGTCTCATATTGCTTGTGAGCCTGGTCAAACGGCATGAACAGGTACTCTTGCACGGGGAGGGAAGCCTGCATGCAACAAAAGAAGGGTTTTTGTTTTCTCTTTTTAGGCAGTCCACATATGAAAAGGTGGCTGCTGAGTTACCATAATAGCTTTTTATTTACTAAAAATACACGATAAGGTAACAAAATAGGTAGACAAAAAGTCAATACAAAAAGATCAATTTATACAAGCAGCAAACAGTAAGAGAATGAACTTATAAAAAGAGCCATTTCCAATAGCATCAAGAAAACATCAACTACCTATTAACTGAAAGGTAGGTAAGCCTCTACACAAAGGTCTGAGAAATGAAAGATCTAAACGAATGGAGATATATACCATGTTAATGGTCTGGAAAACTCAATATTATCTTGAAATCAATTCACCCCAAAGCGATCTACAGATTCAATGCAATCCAAGTCTAAATCCCAGCAGGTAAAAATCGACTAGCTGATTCTAAAATTTATTATGTTAAATGCAAAGGACCAGGGTGCCTGGGTGGCTCAGTTGTATAAGCGTCTGCCTTCGGCTCAGATCATGATCCCGGGGTCCTGGGATTGAGCCCCACATTGGGCTCCCTGTTCAGCGAGGAGCCTGCTTCACCCTCTCTCTCTGCCTCTCCCCCCGCCTGTGCTCTCTCTCTCACACTTGCTCTGTCAAATAAATAAATAAAATCTTAAAAAAAAAAAGCTACAGTAAATTAGCCAGTATGGTACTGGTGCCTGGATAGACGAATAGACCATTCACAAACCTACACGGACATTTAAGACAAAAGTGGTACAGCAGAGTGGGGAAAGAATGGTCTTTTCAATAAATGACCCAGCTGAATACCAACATGTGAAAAAAAAAGAATCTGACCCTTACCTCACACTAGGTACAAAATTCCCTTCCAGGAAGCCTAGAAATCTAAATGTGAAAACAAACAATAGAGCTTCTATAAGAAAACAAGAGAATATCTCCATGACCTTGGGAACAGAGATAAATTTCTTAACTAGGACACCAAAGCACTAACCATAAAGGAAAACACTAATTAGACCATATAAAAATTAAGAAATCTGCTCATTAAAAGATACCATTATGAGAGTGAAAAAGAAAGTCACAAAATATCTGCAAAAGATTCATCTTCAGAAAAGATGAAGAAGTACAAGCAAAAGACTTAAACATGCCTTTCACAAATGAGGTAATCCAAAAGCTAATAAGCATATAAAAGGGGCTGTGCGCAATATCACTGGTCCTCAGGGAAAAGGAATTTAAAACCATAAGCAATGCCCTCCAGAATGGCTAAAATTAAGAAGACTGACAATATCAAGTGTTGGTGAGGATGTGGAGCAATTAGAACTTTCATATGGTGCGGGCGCCTGGGTGGCTCAGTTGGTTAAGCGACTGCCTTCGGCTCAGATCATGATCCTGGAGTCCCGGGATCGAGTCCCGCATTGGGCTCCCTGCTCAGCAGGAAGTCTGCTTCTGACCCTCCCCCCTCTCATGCTCTCTCTCTATCTCATTCTCTCTCTCAAATAAATAAATAAAATCTTAAAAAAAAAAAAAAAGAACCTTCATATGGTGCTAGGGGAATTTTGTAAATCAGTGCAATCATTTTAGAAAACTGTTTCAGTATGTGCCAAAACTAAATATATGCCTAGCATACTCTACAACCCAGCAATTTCATTCCTAGGAATATATTCAACAGAAATATGTATACAAAGGCACCAAAGGACAAAGAATGCTCATAGCAGCATTATTCATTAGCCCCAAACTAGAAGAACCCACAATCAAATACTAAGTATCAATGAAAACAAATGAACTCCTGGTGTTCATGACAATACAGACAAATCTCACAGTGTTGAGCAAAAGAAGCCAGACTCAAGTGTATATGATTCCGTTTGTGTAAATTCAAAAACGGGCCAAACTAACTTATGATGTTAGAAGTCAAGATAATGGTTACGGGGGGGGGGGGGATACAGTGACTGGAAGGGGAAATAAAATTGCTTCTAAAAAATCAATACTGTTATTTTTCTTGATTTGGGTGCCAGTTACAGAGATGTGTTCACTTGTGAATAATCACTGAGCTATACACTTATGAACTGTATGCTTTTCTATACATAACATTATTCTTTTAAGTGTAATATATGTGCATTGTTTTAAAAAGTTGTATTCGGGGCGCCTGGGTGGCTCAGTCAGTTAAGTATTCAACTCTTGATCTCAGCTCAGGTTGGATCTCAGGGTCATGAGTTCAAGACCTGCACTGGGCTCCACGCTGAGTGTGGCGCCTGCTTAAAAAAAAAAAAAAAAAGTTGTATTCAAGGTTTTTTTTGTTGTTTTGTTTCTTTTTTTTAAGATTTTATTTATTTATTTGAGAGAGAGAATGAGAGACAGAGAGCACGAGAGGGAAGAGGGTCAGAGGGAGAAGCAGACCCCCCCGCTGAGCAGGGAGCCTGATGTGGGACTCGATCCCGGGACTCCAGGATCATGACCTAAGCCAAAGGCAGTCGCTTAACCAACTGAGCCACCCAGGCGCCCTATTCAAGTTTATAAAGCAAAAACTCCCAGGGGCACCTGACGGGCTCAATTGGTAGAATATGTGACTCTTGATCTCGGGGTCAATGCCCCACAATGGGCGTAGACTACTTTAAAAACAAAACAAACAAACCTCCCAGTCCCCAAACCCCAAAGTAATTGTTAAAGATTTGGTATGAATAGTAACTCTTCCAAGCATACACTGGACTCACACATGTATATATTCATATGGATACTTTATAAACAAAGGTATACAATGAAATAGTACTTTATGTCCTACAACGGGCACTGTTTTGTTTAATTATATGATAAATCTTTATTCTGTCCAATTATTTTATCAGTGTAATGATGTTCTATATTTCCAATACAGCCGTAAGGCTGTGCCATACAAGAATTTATTTAACCTGTACCCTACTTAGGCATGTTTAGAGAGACTGCAGTTAATAGAAAAATTAAGGCGTGCCTGGGTGGCTCAGTCCATTAAGCGTCCAACTCTTGATTTGGGCTCAGGTCATGATCTCAGGGTCGTGAGATCAAGCCCTGCATTGGGCTCTGCACTGGGAGTAGAGCCTGGGTGTCTCCCTCCATCTGCTCCTCTTCCCACACTCTCTCTCTCAGATAAATAAACAAAATCTTAAAAAAAAAAAAAAAAAAAAAAAAGGAAAAATTAAGTACAACCCAAACTTTTAGCTTGTTTTCTTTCTGTCCTATTATGAAGTGCTACTGAGAATATTTGTTAACAATTCTAATTCTAAGCCTAGAGTTAAAGGGAGGAAATGTAGATCTTGCCAAATCCTAGAAAAGGGAATTTTTGATTTCTCTAGGGTCCTTTTGCAAAGTTCCTCCATGTTAACCATTTACTCTACTACATAAAACTATGAAAATTTAGAGGGCTGCCTGGTTGGCTCAGCTGGTAGAGCATGTGACTCTTGATCTCGGGGTCTTGAGTTCATGCCCCATGTTGGGCATAGTGTTTACTTAAAAAAAAAAAAAACGCACAAAGCCTTAAAAAAAAAACAAAACCATAAGGATTTAGAGCAAATCTGGCCTCACAAATAAAAATCAGATCACCTACACAGAAAGACATTACATTTACATTACATTGTAAAGTGGGGACTTTTCCTCTGAAGGTACCGAACAGCTTTCAAATACGAGTGAAGTTCTCTTCAGAGAGAGTACATCTGCTGAACATCTGCCCCCAAGGTGCAGTCAGGGAGTCTAACAGACATCCACAGAAGCAGGCTTAGATGTCTGGAGGCTGTGGGGCTGGTGGAAACCATTCTGGAAGTAAATTAAACCTAGAGTTTGCAAAAGTATTTTACCTGGAAGAAGCTCTGGGAGAAAAAGAAAACATCCCAGGTAAATGTGTGTCTATGTTCCTGAGCCCACACGGCAGCATCTCTTCCACCCAGGACACAATCTTACCGTACTGGCTGGGTAGAAACTGCTAACAGGACAATCCTTACACTGGGCTCTGACACCCACTAGGGTAACACACCTGGCAAAACCCAAAGGGATACATGGCTGCTGGAGGCCTCAGGTCAGCAAGGTCTCACTGGGTGCTGAAGGCAAAGCAAAAGGCCAATGTTGGGGAGTATATGGGGGAGAGTCTCACCTGCATGATGCTATTGAGGCGAGGCTGGAGGCTGCTTAGGTACTCCTTCTTCACCTCAATCTCCTTAAGGATCTTCTCCTTGTTGGACAGGCACTCCCGGTACTTCTCTGCCAGCCTATTGGGAAAGGACAGACCACTGTCACTCGAAGCTCCTCAGAGATCTCCCAACACACCTACTGTCACAATCCACCTAATGACAGCAGTCATGATTAACTAATGTTTACCTAGTACTTACTATGTGTCAAGCACTTGGAGAACTCTTTATAAGCATTATTGCATTTAATGCTTATAAAAATCCTGGAAGATAGGGACTCTTCTTTTCCCCAAAGGAAGAAACGAAGGCTTAAGGAGGTAGGTAACTTGCCCAAGGTCATCCAGCTAAAAGCAAGTACAGAGCTGGGCTTTGAATCCATGCCTGTCCGGCTCCAGAGGCTCTGCTCATTAACCACTAGGGAATATCTATGTCATTTCCTGTTCCCTTTCTTACCTCTAAGGTCTAGAGCCAAAACTTTCACAAACATGTGAACCTAGCAACTATAGTACCCAAATGAGGCCCACAGACTGGCCTGAGTGGGACAGGTGGTGATGGATTCTGGACCACAGGAATACAACACTCATGGCTTAGCCTGTGCCAAGGCAAGCCATGTACTGGACAGGGGAGTGATGGGCCAGCCCCATCTGCTAACAACCTGACACCAATTCCATAAGCACCACACTTAGTGCTTATTAAATTCGTAACATAGGCCGAAGGCATAGAATACATTCTATAACAGGAAAAAAAAAAAAGGAATAAAAACACCTGCTTCTCCAGTGGAAAACAGAGCAAATGTGTCAACCAAAAGCCCTAGAATTAGTACGAAAACGTACCAATATGGGGAAGAAAGTCACTATAACGAAAGGGATGTAGCCATGAAAGATCCAGTATGAAAAATACACTACCCCCTTAAAAAGATCTAGATTAAATTACACAGTGTAGATGTTCTACTTACAATTAATAAATAAAAGATCTTTTATTAGTATGGAAAATTTTTATATGTAAAGGTGCTCCTTGAAGCATAAAATATGATAGCAAAAAAGGGGTAACTAAAAGTCCAATCCAACAGAGGAAAGATTATGTGAATTGTAATTTGTCTATACACAGGAATGCCGTGCAGAACCTTCTAAAATAATGTCTGCAAACCTTTAAAGTACCACAGGGACAGTCTTAGAGGCAGAGGAAAAAGTAAAAGAAAAAAATTAAATTTACAATACAAAAGGTATTTAGGTCTCAGGTGTTAAAATTTTAAAGAAAAAGTTACTCCAATTTTCTTTTAACAGCCATAAGCAATTCCAGCCCCACCCATAATGCTGTTGGTCAAGTTTGAATTATCAGGTGTGAATTAATCACAAAATGGGATTTGGTCTTAAACCATTCTACTGGTTCCAGAACTTTGCTGTATGATTGTGGATCGTGCATGACAAAGCACTGTCCTCATGGTTAAAGGTCTGTGTCTGCACAGGCTAACAAGGTCAGGAAAGATACACAACCTTTTCCGCTGTTCCAGCTCCCAGTCCAGACGTGCAAGGGTTTGCTGGTGAGGGTCTCCCATGGTGACTTCAGCCTTGCTAATATCTGGAGGAGCCTCCTTATAAAATTCCTCTAAACTGACCAGATCAATTTCTTCATGCTTTGACCTACAGGGAAAAACGAGATGTCAAGTTGCTGTTCTCAGGATCCCAAACCGTGGATTAAGTGGGCCCACAGTTCCCTCCATGTATGCTTACTTAGCCCTGCTCTACAACTACCCAGGAACCTGGAATCCAGTCTTCTCAGCAAATGCTCATTAGTAAATGTTTCATTTTGAAGAGAGGTAGTTGGTGACATACCATAGGATCCTTATCGATGGTATCCAACCTTTTTATCCATGAATTAGCTGAAGACCTGGAAGGGATGCTTTTCAAATTTACAGATGTCTCAAATTTACAGATGTCTCCAAGCTTAGCAAAAGAGGTAACTGAAAAAGTCAATAAAAACACTACCGTCTAGACCTAGGCTGCCAGGTTGAAACCAAGAATTGGAAACAGGAAAAAAAAGTAACGGTCTGCACGGAACTTCAAAATATTAACTGCATGAGCATGGGATGGGGAAAAGCCAGCATAATGATCTAGAGGCTTCATCTGTTGAATACATAGTGACTCCCAAGAAAAGAAAGCCAATTCTTTTTCCTGTGTTAACATAGTAGTGCACAAGTTGTGGACAAATGATGGTAATAACAGAAGCTACCAGGTATTAAGTGCCTACTGTATGCCAGCCTCACCTCACTTATTTCTCACGCTAACTCACCAAATGGGGATTTCTATCTCCATATCTCAAATGAGATGGAGACTTCCACAGTTGAGGAACTTGCCCAAGGTCACACAGCTAGTGAGTGGCAGAGCTGGGATTTGAATCCAGGCTGTCTGACCAGGGCCAAGGGTGGTCACCCGCCTCTCCATAGGCCAGGGTTCTATTGTATTCTGCATTTGTCAGCTTTCATCTGAGTGATGGTTATAGCTTGGGGCATCACTTCTTTTGTTTTTAATACCTTTTTAAGTAGTTTAAGATACACAGGAACTTTCGGAAATAGTACTTAGAGTTTATTTCCTCTGTGTATCCTTCCCCTCGGTTCCTCCAGTGATAGTATCTACACATAGTACATTGTCAAAACCAGGAAACTGACAATGACACAATACTATTAACTCAGGTACAAACCTGATACAGATCTCACCTCTATTAGTATTTAACTATTATGACATGATGAATTTGTAAAGCAGATAGATACCTCTCAAAAATCAGCATAATTATCAAAAATACACCAGACTCAATGACTGATATGCCCCTCTCATCCCAAGTTTATTACAAATAAAACCTGCCTCGGGGGCCTGGGTGGCTCAAACAGCTAAGCGTCTGCCTTCAGCTCGGGTCACGATCTCAAGGTCCTGGAATCAAGTTCCACATCGGGCTCCTTGATCAGCAGGGAGTCTGCTTCTCCCTCTTCCTCTGCTCCTCCCCCCACCCCCCCACTCGTGCGTGTTCTCTCTTTTTTTAAGATTTTATTTATTTATTTGACAGAGAGAGAGAGAGCGCAAGAGTAGGCAGAGCAGCAGGCAGAGGCAAAGGGAGAAAGCAGGCTCTCCGCTGAGCAGGGAGACCGACTCGGGGCTCAATCCCAGGACCCTGGGACCATGACCTGAGCCGAAGGCAGCTGCTTAACCGACTAAGCCACCCAGGCGCCCCTCTCTCTCAATCTCTCTCAAAAACAAAACAAAACAAAACAAAAAACAAAACCAAAAACCAAACAACAACAACAAAACACCTGCCTCTTCTCAGTCTGCACAAGTAGGTCTTACCAAGCAAGAATACATTCCCTTCTCTTCCTCTACTTCTTTCTCCCTTCTCATCTCTCAGCTTGGATTTGCTAAGAGGCATTACATTTTAAGATGGACACTGAAAAACTACAGTTTGTTCACCCAAAGGCAGCTAAGTGGCAAGAAGTTCAGCTTCCAAAGAATAAAATCCAGTTGCAAAAATGAATGGCTGCAACTTTAGAGAGGAAAAACTGGGCCAAAAGGTTAAGATTTGACTGGAAGGGAATTGCTGCCATGCAAGGTGCCCAGGAATCAAACTGGTAATGTAAAGGCCCTTGCTAGAGAAAAACTGCTTTTGACCAGGTGCAGAGCTCAAAATTTAAAGAAGTCAGACAGGCTTCTGAGGTTCTTTGTGTAGTCTGAAAACATTGCTTCCAATTCTCCCACTCAAAGTGATCTATTCACCTTCATCCCAGATCCTGCAGTCTCCAAGCCCATCTGATTTTTTTTTTTTTAGGAGCCTAACTCACACTGAACTATGTAGGAAAAAGCAGTCAGCAACACACTATTTTGCCAAAGGCTGTTCTCCAAAACTCACTTAAACTCCAGACATTTGGTGATCTCTTTCTGCAGGTGCATCACCTCATACAACAGGTTCTGCAGCTGCAGGTGATAGGCGTCTACTTTCTGCTTGGCCTGAAAGGAGGACAAGGTCAGAGGTGAGTGGGGCAAGTCAGGTCAGACAGAGCAGAAGCAAATGCAGGGAAGAGGTAAAGGGGATTAAGAAGGGAATGTGGGGAAGAGTTGGAGAAGGAGGATTAAACTTCTCAATTTCTACCTCATGGGTCTGATCTCTTCCTTTCTTCAACCTGATGTGGGCTAATCGATTAAGCTTCTTTAGAGTCATGAAATGCACACAGCTCTGGATCCTCCGATCTTCTATCTCAACTGCCTGCAGGCAAAGAAAACCGGTAAAGATCTTGTCAACAGGTGCTGGCTCAGCTTCCTTCAGCCCCTCACTGCTGACCCATCCCCAACCACAACCAAAAACAAATACTGGAAGGAGCTCAGAACCAAGAGACATGTCAGTGGGAAATGGAAGAATGACTGTATAAGGAAAATGCTTACAGTTCCCAGGCAAAAAAAACCAAAAAAACAATTTCTACTTGGATTGAAGTAACAGGGATTGAAGATGGAGCAAGTGCAGGCAATGCACAATTAACATCTGTCCCTACGTACTGTATACAGAGATCCTAACGATAGCAACACCCTGCCATACAATTAGATCTCTGTGAATAACATTACAGAATGACTTAAATGAAAATGGCAGAATTACAGCTGTAAAGCTTGGCTACAGTAAAATACAATGTAATAATCATAACAATATTGGACAGTATAAGCACAAGTAAGTGAGATTCTTGGAAATACATAGGTTTTGTTTTTAGTCACTGTTTAGTTCCTTTGTCCCAAAGTCTGGTTCATTCATTTAAAGTTAATAAGTTCATTTCTGGTCTCTATGACATACTTGTACATGTTCATCCTTAAAACAACAAAGGAATTTACACGTATCATCGTTTCTCAAAACCTAGCAAAATGCCTAGCATGTAATATCAGTTAGATGAATTATCAAATTACAGTTATGAGAAAAATTGTCCTGTACTTTTGTTACTGTAATTGGTGGTTGGGTGGTGATGACATGTTCCCATAGGTTAATGGGCACATCTCTGGAGCTCCCAGACTTCAACCACCTGATCATGGCTAGGACAGAAGACCAAGATGAGGAAGGGCTCTGATGGGTGCAAAACAAGTCCATCCATGCAAACCCACCAGGTTCGTGTCTGCCCAATCCCAGTCCCACTCCTTACCACATCCTTGCCTCCTCTGCTCTTCAGGTCCTGGATCTCAGCCATGAGCCTCTGTAACTCCTGGCATGTGTACTTGTACAGTTCATAGTCTCTGCCAGGGTCCCGCAGGTCCACTTCAGCCTCCTCACTGTAGTATTTACCTTCCTGTGGAGGCAAGGATACAGGCTTTGGGTGGGGAATAAGAGTCTCCCTGTTGGGACCAGGGACACTGGGCTGAAATCAGTAACAATGAAACCCCAAATCAGGTCTCTAAAAAATCTGGTCCTCAAATCAAATGTTTTTCTTCTTTTCAAAATGGAAAAGAATTCATTCCTCTTTTCTTCTTTCTAATTATAAAGTAATGAATGCTTGGTGTCAGAGACTCAGAACATAGAAGTATCAAAAACAAAATGAAAAGTTGCCTGTAATCTCATCCTGAAATAACTATTTTTAATACTGTGGATAAACACAAATTTTATTTTTAAACAAAATGGAATCATACTGTCCATGCTAATTTTGCAATTTCTCATCCCAATAAATTTAAAAACCCGTCACAATGGCTACGTGATAATCCACTACATCAATGAACCAGGATTCATTTAACTAAATTCCTACTGATGAGTGTTTAGATGGTCAAATCAAGCTTTAGCAGAGGCTAAAATATCATAATTGGTCACTTAGCCTTTGGAGTGAACGGAACACATTTCTTGAAGAGAGTCCACTATAGTTAATAATACTGCATTGCATATTTAAAAGTCGCTAAGATAGTAGGTCTTAAAAGTTATCATAACAGGGGTGCCTGAGTGGCTCAGTGAGTTAAGTGTCCAACTCCTGATTTCAGCTCAGGTCTTAATCTCAGGGTTGTGAGTTCAAGCCCCATGTTAGGCTCCATACTAGGTGTGGAGCCTACTTAATTAAAAAAAAAAAAGTTCTTATCAGAGGAAATAAAAATTTTAACTACACACGGGATGGATGTTAACTAGATTTTTGTGGTGATCATTTCATAATATATACAGATACCAAATGTTGTGCACCTTAAATTAATATAACGTTATATGTCAATTACATCCCAATAAAAAAAGAACCAGTGCCTGCAATGTGTAAGGTTTTTTGTTAATCTAGATTTCCTAAATCTGAGGAAAACATCATTTTCTACTTAAATTTAAGCTCTTATGTTTCTCTATTCTAGCTTTTTTTTTTTTCTTTTTAAAGATTTTATTTATTTATTTGACAGAGAGAGGTGGCAAGAGCAGGAACACAAGCAGGGGGAGTGGGAGAGGGAGAAGGAGGCCTCCCACAGAGCAGGGAGCCCAATGCGGGGCTCAATCCCAGGACCCTGGGATCATGACCTGAGCCAAAGGCAGACGCTTAACAACTAAGCCACCCAGGCGCCCCTCTATTCTAGCTTTAAAAAAAAAAAAAGTAGGGTGCTTGGGTAGCTCAGTCAGTTAAGCATCTGCCTTCAGCTCAGGTCATGATCCCCAGGTCCTGGGACAGAGCCCTGCATCAGGGAGCCTGCTTCTCCCTCTCCCTCTGCCCCTCCCCTCATTTGTGCTTGCTCTCTCTCAAATAAATAAATAAAATCTTAAAAATAAATAAATAAAAAATAAAGTAACCAAACAATCAAAACAATTAAGTCATCAATTAGCTTGACAGATTCAAGAACAGAGAAACAGTAAAAGGAAGAACCTGCTGACCACATGAGCTCTCAGGCCACAGAAGAGATTCTGTGGGGATGTCGTTCTGATACTATCTCAGTAGCAGACCAGGGATGCCACATCTCCAATCACTGGTGGTGTGCTGCAGAAACTGGCTTCTTCTGACCATCAGGAAAAATGGAGACCTACACCATACTAGAACACAGTCTCTATTCAGGCACTATTTATGTCTAACATAGGCTTGTTGGTTCTTGGGATGCTGCAGCTAAACCAGATGTAAATACTCAGGTTTGTAGAACCAAGGGAAGTCCAGGCACCTGGTCAAGCAGAGGCCACCTGGGAGGTTGTCCCTGTGACCCTCAGCTGCTGCAAAGTCACAGCTAGGTGCTTGGTCAAGAGCTGTAATTTCTCAGCAATGTGGCAGCCCTGGCTGATCTCACCTGCTCTGTGTCAGAACGGTTACGCTTCCCTTCAGCTGGAGCTCCATCACTTCGGATCACTTTGGGCTTCCGTTTTTTGCTTGATTCTGATGACATGGTTGTTTGGTGAGGTCAGGAGGAAAAAGCAGAGACCTGTTAAGAGGAGGAAACTTTTAAGATTTTTCAGAGTTGGGGGCGCCTGGGTGGTTCAGTCGGTTAAGTGTTGGCCTTCGGCTCAGGTCATGATCCCAGGGTCCTGGGATCGAGACCCACATGGGGCTCCCTGTTCTGTGGGGAGACTGCTTCTCCCTCTCCCACTCCCCCTGCTTGTGTTCCCTCTCTCACTGTGTCTCTCTCTGTCAAATAGACAAAATCTTCAAAAAAAAAAAAAAAAAGATTTTTCAGAGTTGGAATTGGGAGATGTTCCTGGAGTCAGAATACTGAAGTCTAACTAGTAGTTCTGGCCACTTATACCCTTGTTAACTCAAAAAAAAATGTCACTCAACCCTCTAAAGCCTCATTTTAATCCCCTGTAAAAGTGGGGAGGGGTGCCTGGGTGTCCCAGTCAGTTAAGCCGCTGCCTTCGGCTCCGGTCATGATCCCATGATCCCAGAGTCCTGGGATCCAGCCCTTTGTTGGGCTCCCTGCTCAGCGAGGAGACTGCTTCTTCCTCTCCCCTCTGCTCGTACTCTCTCCCTCTCTCTCAAATGAATAAAATCTTTAAAAAAATAAAAAAATAAAAAGAGGGAATGAGGCGCCTGGGTGGCTCATTGGTTAAGCGGCTGACTCTTGATCTCAGCCAGGTCTTGATCTCAGGGTTGTGAGTTCAAGCCCTGCATAGGGCTCTGTGCTAGGTGTGGAGCCTGCTCAAGATTCTCTCTCCCTCTGCTCTGCCGCACCCCACCCCCCACCCCGCGCACCGTGAGCACACTGTCTAAGGGGGGAATCAGCCCTCAGCCTGTCCAAAAAAACCTCATCTTTTCCAGCTCCACCTCCTTTAAAGGCACCACAACCACATCCCTGACTGAACTCAGCCTCGCATATATACCCGTTCCCAATATTATTGATTGATCACTGCATGCTGGACCTGATCTAAGCACTTTAAGGGTATGTTCTCACTAGATCCTTATAAGAAACCTTCCAGATAAGAACAAGTACCATTTTATGGATGAGAACATTGAGGTTCAGAAAGGTGAATGAGGTGCCGAAGGTCACACAGAATATGCTAAAGCTTGGGTCCATCTGATGCCACATCAGTGCTCTTGACAACTACATTATTGTGATACCAGTGTGTCTTGCTACCATCTCACTTGGCAATGCCATCAACTCTTTGGTTGGTCCTAAAATTTAAAAAAATAGAACCTACATTTCATGGGACTCGAGTCACAAAGCATCCTCCCTCTGCTACCTCTCCTGGCTGTCACCACAGCCCTGAGGTGGACAGCACCATCCCCTCACCACAACAAATCTGTCACCAACAATTACTGAAGGAACTAACAGCTCATGGTAGTGAGTCAGAGAAGTCCTGAGTTGGAGTCTCCACTCTACTATTTTACTGCTATGAATCCTGGGACAAGTTGCTTCACTGTTCTCTGGGCCTGCTTCCTCACAGATCAAATGAGACTAACAGTCCCTACCTCAGGGGTTGCTGTGGACATTGACACAGGAGGCACTCCGCTGGTGAAGGTGATGGAGATGACCTAGGACTGGGGCTTTAGATGGTACATGGATGATCTGAAATAATGTTGAACACCTAAGGAGAGTTAATCCCCTTTCAATTCTTTTTAGAAACTTCTGATTGCTTCAAGGAGAACATCTCATTTCCCTAGTTTGTCTTTAACATCTGTGAACACCAGTGTTCCTTTGTTAACAAAAGGACTCTGTCTCAGAGCCTTAGACAATGAAATCTAGCCAGAGTTAAGAATGTTTTCATGTTAAATATATTAGTTCTTATCACTATCTTCTACATAGGACAAGTCTCCATTCAGGGGAGAGACTTAAAATTTTCTCTTAAAGAAAATTTACGTTTAAGAAGTAAAAGGTGACTCGATTAAAAACCTTTAGCAAAGGGGCGCCTGGGTGGCTCAGTTATTAAGCATCTGCCTTTGGCTCAGGTCATGATCCCGGAGTCCTGGGATCAAGCCGCATCGGGCTCCCTGCTCCACGGGAAGCCTGCTTCTCCCTCTCCCACTCCCCCTGCTTGTGTTCCCTCTCTCGCTGTGTCTCTCTCTGTCAAATAAATAAATAAAATCTTAAAAAAAAAAAAAAAACCTTTAGCAAAGTCTTAAACAGTAAATTGGGTACAACCCACAAAGTTGGGACACGAAAGGCTGAAATGTGGGAAATCCTGACTTCGGAAACCCAGTAAAGACAGCCTGGCACACTGGCACACGTAAGCACACAATAAATGTGAGCTATTATCACCACCACCTTCGACATCGACATCATCGTCGTCACCTAGAGGCTACCATGTGGGACCCGACGCTGCTGCAGCCAACATCATTTTCACCTGAAGAGACTGAGCGCGCGGCGCCGAGCGGCTGGGGACCCCGGAGAGTGAGCACGGAGAACTCGGGTCGGCCCCCAGCCTGGGGACGCCCTCCCGGAGGTCTGCACCTCGGTCCCCGAGCGCCCAGCCCCGCCCCTCCGACCAGCCCCGCTGTCCCGGCGACCTCCTCACCGCTCCGACCCCGAACCGGTCGCGGCAACCTAGCCACTTCCGGCGGCGGGGAGACGTATTCCCGCACACCATAGAGAAGCGGAAGGAAAGAGCGGCTGGCCGGAAGCGAGGCGCGGAGGCCGGAAGCGAAGCGCAGAGGTCCGGGATGGCAGCGGGCGCGTGGAGCAAGTGGCGACTGGGCGGCGTGGGAGCAGCGGCCGCGGCTCTGGGGTTGTCAGGGCGAGAACCAGCAGCCAACACCCTCACGCTGCCGTCCAAAACCAGGAAACCGAGGCTGCAAGGGCCGATTCTTTGCCTCGTTTACTCTTTCCTCAGCGCCTAAAGCAACGTCCAGCCGCTAGTAGGCGCTCTATTAATAGTTGAAGGAGTGTCATATACCCAAGATAACACGAGAGCGTGGTAGTGTCAAGGTTCGAACCCCTGTGGATTTGCCTTCATAACTTCTATATTTAACCATTGTCTTATTCACCCAAACATCCCATACTAGTGAGGGCAGCAAGTCAGGGAAGGCATTAATTCCCTTACGCTTGTTTTTTCCACGGATGCATCAATAGTTTCCCCATTTGCCTAGGGCAGAGTCACAGCTCTAACGCAGCATTTGACAGCCTCAGGTGTTTTCTACCCCTGGTACGAATTCTACAGAGTTCAGGACTTTTGGTGTAAATTCTACTTATCTGGAGGTAGAAACGCTGATGTCCTGAATGCCTTCTTGCCATGGGGGAAGGCCCTCCCTGATTATAGCTCAGGGAACACAATACAGGGCAGGGGAAGTAAATCAGCAAGGTGGAACTAGGAAACTGGCCCTGCCTCTAGCACCTGCCTAAGTTCCTCACAGATGAAGAAAAAACATCATGATTTATAGTAAATATTTAATTGGTTCCATTAGTGACTCCAGCACAAGTTTTCCTCAAAGGGAGATAGAATCAAGCCACCTAGAGGTTCATGAGGTGTAGAGATCACCCAGGAGGCTCCCAAAGTCACTGACCCCAATCCACATACCCAGTGGCCCAGTAGAATGGGGGTTGGGCTGATAGAATATGAAGAGAGAAAAGGAATGCAGGGTGAGGGAAATACAGGCCGTGGCCCTTTACTTCGCCTGCAGGAATGAAATAGAAAGGGCAGGAGATTCTCCCTACACAGAAGGGCTGAAACTGAACAGTCAAGGTCTCAATATCATGTAGGAAGAAAGAGATGAGCCTCTTTCCAACTGTCTTGTATTAAGAACCCCTTCCCAGGTGGTCTTCTATAACCTCTGTTCTATATTCCTGATTCCATATTCCAAATTCTGCAGTTCAAATCCAAGTTCTGAATTCTGTTCTACCTTCTAGGTTCATGTCCCATTCTGTGACCCAGATCCTTCCCAGCTCCCATCCCTTTTCCCAGCCTTTCTAAGTGGAATATGTAGGACCTCACTCTGTGCTAACTTGAAGGTTTTCCCCTTTTCTTCTTGAGGCAGTTTTAGGCTTTTCCCTGACAGGAGGGACTTGGCTCAGGAGGGACTTGGCTCAGACGATCCAGCAAGTGGGTGGCCCAGTGGAGACCAGGGAATTCCAGAGAGCCAGGCCTGGTCTGACCTCCTCCCTTCCCACCTCCTCTCTAACCACTTGACACACTACCTTTTGTACAACTAAAGCTAAACAGAGGGCTTCCATGGTGGCAACTGGGGACTGGTGGCCTTGAGATGAGGAATCTCAGGGGGAAATGTGAGAAGACATAAAAGGCTGCTGTTCTTCATTCAGAGAAATTAAAAACTGCTTCTGGCACAGGGGAAGGGGTGAGCAGGGAAGGTGGGAAGGGTCTGGGCAGGGCTGCAAGTCCTCAGAACCCTGTCATCCTTCAGCTTCCCCTTGTCTGAGCTGAGCACGAACCCCCAGAGTCCTCCCAGATCCAAGAGAAAACCAAGACAGCAGGACTGGGAGCTCCTCTGTCCATGGCTGCCCTGAGGGAGAAGGGGAAGGGGGCAGGGGCAGAAGCAGCATCACTGGAGAGGCGAGATCTTCAATGGGATCATGATCCGAGACTCCATGTGTCGTACCAGTGGGACTGTGGAAAGAGAGGCAGAGGTCACAGAGGGTGCAGAGGCAAGCCAACCCCACAAGTGGACTTTGGAGGAGGAGGAGGCCTGGGATGCTGAGACAGGGAAAGCCCCACTGCCCTCCTGGAATGGAAAGCGCCCAATTGTAGCTTAAGAGGGGACTTGGTGCCGAGATACAACATTTTTTTATTTTCATAATGATATATCTATGTTCCTGTGATGTGAAAGAACAAGTAGCATAGCAAAAAGTGACTTCACAGATAATAATGCTTAGGACAAAGCTAGGTGTAGAAGAAAGTAGGGGGATTTAAAGAAAAATATCAAGAAAATAATTATAGCCCTAGTATACCGGTAGGACAAAAGCTATGAGGGTGTCCTCAAGTGGCTAAGATTTGAAAAACACTGATTTAGTTCAAATGATTCATTTTACAGATAGGGAGACTGCAGCCCATAGGAGGTCAGCCCAAGGTCACCCAGGAGGTCAGCCACTTTGCTCTTGCTCAGAGATGTTCAAACATTACTATGCATACAAATTACCTACAGTTCTTGTTAAAGTGCAGATTCTGATTCAGCAGATGGGGGCGGGAGTTGAGATTTGGCATTTCTTTTCTTTTTTTTTTTTTTTTAAAGATTTTATTTATTTGAGAGAGAGGATGAGAGGAGAGAGAGAGCACATGAGAGGGGGGAGGGTCAGAGGGAGAAGCAGACTCCCTGCCGAGCAGGGAGCCCGATGCGGCACTCGATCCCGGGACTCCAGGATCATGACCTGAGCCGAAGGCAGTCGCCTAACCAACTGAGCCACCCAGGCGCCCGAGATTTGGCATTTCTAACGAGCTTCCAGGAGATCCTGATACGATCATTCAATATCACACTTTCAAGAGTTAGGCTCCCGCTAACTCCTTCAGGAAGCGCATTCTCCCCCACATCAGCTGGTAAGTGTGGACACTTAATTGTAAGCTCCTCAAGGGGAGGGAAAGGCTCCTGTTCATTCTGTGGCCCCTAGCCACCCACGCACTGCAGTCCCTGGCACACAGTGAGGGCTCGCTCAATCAACACCTGTTGACTCCAAGTGGTTCTCAGGGGTCCCAGCAATGTGGCTAACACAGAGAACAAAAAACTTCCTCAAAAAATTTGCTGTGTGCTTCCTCTGTGCCAGTCTGGGTGAAGCACTTTTCCTAACTTAGCTCCTAGAATCTTCCTTCCAGCCCTCTGAGGGAGGCACTATCACTGTCACCATCTTACAGATGAGGAAACAGCCTCGCCGTGGTGAAGAACCATGCCTGAGGTCACAGTGCATAGGGACCATCTGTGTTTTCATCTCCTGAAGCACTCACCTAGACCCACTGTTTAGATCACGTGGAGTGTGCCACCAGGACAGAACCCCACTCATTGTTTAAAAGTAGGTTCCCCAGGGGCGCCTGGGTGGCTCAGTTGGTTAAGCGACTGCCTTCAGCTCAGGTCATGATCCTGGAGTCCCGGGATCGAGTGCCGCATTGGGCTCCCTGCTCAGCAGGGAGTCTGCTTCTCCCTCTGACCCTCCCCCCTCTCATGCTCGCTCTATCCATTCTCTCTCTCAAATAAATAAATAAAATCTTAAAAAAAAAAAAAAGTAGGTTCCCCATCACTGGAGGTAATCGAATGAGACTTGACCTCCTTGCAAAGGGGATTCCACCCTCACACTGGGCTCTTGGCAGATGACCTCCAAGGGCTAGGCTGACCCCCTAGAGGAAGCACTCACCTGTGTAGTAGACATTTTCGTCCCAGCCCCTCTTCCTCCAGGCAGCGTTTCGAGTCTCTTCCCGAGACTGTAGGTCCTTATAGGCTGTGGGAAAGGCATTGGCTCATTCCGTGGGAACAGAGGATCTGATCCTATACCTAGCACAGGGCTCTCCTGTCATTGCCCCAAACCCTGTCCTGCTGTCTCTTCCCAATGTCTCGAACTGTTTAGCAAACACTGTCTGCTTTGACAATCTCATCCCATTAGTACATTTGTTGACAACTCCCAACTTTCTATTTCCAGCCCAGAACTCTCCCTTGGGCTCCACACCCATGTATCCGGTGCCCACTTCATGTCTCCACTTGGATGTGTCAGCATCTCAAATGCAACATTTCCAAGGGCCAAAATTACACTCCTGACCCCTTCAACCTGCTCTGCCTAGGGTCTCAGTAAAAGACACACAGCTGCTCAAGCAAGAATCTGGAGTTCTCCTCTCCCTGCCTCACCCCACACAGACAATTCATCCACAAGGCCCACTGGCCACCTCCAGACTAATGAATCTATCTGTGGCCTTTTCAGCATCCTCACTGCCACCACGTTAGGCTAGGCTACCATCCTCCTGAACTCATCTGCCGGAACTAGTTTAACCATCTCCTGATGCCTCACTTCCTCTCTTGCTCCCCTACAAAGCACCCTCGGCAAAGCACATGGCAACCAGAGGAATCCTACTGGAACACAAATCAGGTCATGTCATGCTGCTTAAAATGCTGCATCAGTCTACCGTTGCATTTAGGATAAATCCCAATTCCACATCCTGCAAGGCCCAGCCTGATCTGGTATGTCCCTGTCTCCTCCCGCTCTTCACTCTCTCCACACTGGCCTCCTCTGCACTCTTCAAAGGCCTTTTCCCCACCGCAGGACCTTTGCACATGTTGTACCCTCTACTTAGAATGCCCTTCCCTGGCAAGTCACAAGCTGGCTCTTTCTCATCCTTTAGCTTAGTTAACATTTTACCTCCTCAGAGAGGCCTTCTTTGTCTATCCAAGCCATTCCCATGTGTTTCTTTATCATTTTTTCCCTGCCTCTTTATTATTTGTAATAATTGGAAATAATGTTTTTGTGTTAGTTTATGTCGGAGGTAGTATCTCTCCCTGCTAGAACGTAAACTCCAGAAGGGCACTAATGTATTCACACTATATAAAGAGTGACAGTGGGGAAAGGGGACTAGCAGAGG